TATTTGGGCAGGGCATAGACTTCTACCCACTTACTGAAGTAGTCCATGGCTACCAAGATGTATTTGTGCCCATGTCGATAGTCAATTTCACCGCAATACAAAGATTGTCAACCAAGCGCTCACATATTTATTTCACAAATCCACTTTTGATCACCAATTGTAACAAATTGATGAATTAACTGTCTTAAACAAATTTATTCACAACAATATTTCACTAATCGCAAACCAAATTGTTTAGCCGCTCGATTGACTTTCTGAACTGCCCTCTTGGGTCGGGAAGCCGTGCTTATATAATGTAACGGTCCTTTCTAGAAATCTGTAGTCGGTTCGGTTCTAGAGTAGAATTTTACCTGCGATTTCCGACTGCATTCTTTCGCGGTGATGTCATGTGTTTGTTCGCTGAGTCAGCCGGCATATCGGTCAGGGGCGGCTTCAGATTCGTTACAACTTATATTCGTATCTGTAGTCGAAATGAATTTAATTTTTTTCCAAAGATGTTTGAATTTAAAAGTTAAGTTCAGATTCTTCTTTAATTCTCCATTGAAATATCGAATGTACTGAAATTTCATAAGAGGCACTGCAAAAAAATCACCACAACGCAGCTGGAGGCTTAATTATCTCTCATGAACCACCGTAGACTAACGGATGCGCGCATATGAGAGGCTCGTCAACCTCGCCTCTTCTATGACGCTCGCATCTCTGTTGCCTCATAAAAGACAATACATTACAACAACGAATTTACGGCGTGGATAGCTCTTTTCTGCTCATTGCTCCAGAATCCCTCAGCTTCAGAATGTTCTGAAAAATAGAACTCCATGTATGTGAATGATATTCCAAATTTGATAGAATTCTTAACATTCTACTTGCTTGATCAATGAATAAGAGCTTTCACAGCCGGAGATAACTGTTTGAAAGTTGCTTTCCAGGTTTTTCGACTTCTACTGCGGTAGACATTACTAAAGGCGATGTGGTAATGGCCACAGTGCTCGAGTTGATATTCCTGTTGGTTCCAACATAGAAACTATGATGCTGGTATTAGACTCTGGTTTTATTTAATTATTGGTGGGCATTGCTTGGTTTCTCCTAATTGGATTACCTGACCTTGTTTGTGTACCATCAAGGAAGGTAGGTAATATTAAATTATTATTCATTGCCTGTTCTTTTCTATTGAAATCATCCCTGTGTTTTTGAATTTCTTCTGCCTTTCTACTGGCGTAATAATTTTTAGTTTTTTCGAGTACTAATGTATCTGATTGTTCGCTCTGCAAGGGTTTTTTTGAATTGGGTCGACAGTCAAATTATTCATATTAAGAGAGATAAATGTGTGCGCGGTTCCGAGTCTTGACAATCTAAGGTGATAAAGGAGATAGGTTAGGTTAGGTTAGGTCCAAAGTGTGTGGGTCTTTTCGACCCTCCACCGCAACACGCAAGGTTCAGTTCAGTTATTGGATCAGGAGTTGGAGAGTTGAGAAGGTCTCGCTCCTGATCTAAATTTACAGAGAGGTCAGTTGGAGTCTTGAAATCGACATACATCTCCTCTGTAGACTCAGCGTCAGAAAGAATTTTTAAATTCACTCTGTCCATGAAAGTCCTACGAGTAGCTAGGGAAAGAAGGTC